CAATTCTCTCCCCTTTTTTTCCCCCCACCCCATTGCCCCTCATAACCTCTTGTTATTTTGTGTATCACTGAAGGTCTCCTACCATTTCCATGTTTCCCCCCTCCCCTCCCCTCCCCTCCCAACATCCCTCTCTACCTCCTCTGCTGTTGTTCAATTCTCTCCCCTTTTTTTCCCCCCATCACATGGAAGATTTTAAAGGTAAATTCTAAATACTAAATGAAACCCATTTTTCTTGAAAATCCCTATTCCTTTCATCTTCAAAACCAGTTTGTACTTAGGAGCTTCTTGAGATTTGGACTTCAGAAAAGCATTATACCACTAGTAGATAGATACAAACTCAGGTTTTAGCACAAACGTCTTTCTCTACTGTCAAACTCTCCTGTCTAAACTCCTCCTGCATTTAAGTATGCTTTGATACTGTTCTATTTCTAGATGTAGAAAGTAAATCCATCCATTTGCACCAAATGGTGGATATTGTTAGCACAGCTTCACTACTGTCATCTCTGTCTAGTGTTAGATCTTTAAGTTAAGCCCATACAAATAAATATCATTCAATAATAGGAGGGAGGTTATTTGAAAATTGATGATATGCATCAAGACATAGAGCTCTTAGTTTTAGATTTTTTTCGTAATCTAAAAATAAGTAATTAAAACCACACGTATCTAACATGTTTTCTGTATGTAAATACCAGACACTTGAAAGTGTCCCCGATTTTGCTCTGGAAGCCTCTTATTGTGATTTTCAAAGTTAAATATTGATAAGGTTAACTCTCTGATTATGTTCCTCTTACGTGATGTTGAGAAATCTCCTAAGAGCTTCTGGGCTGAGTTTATAAGAAGGATGAAATGGGTGAGAAGCAGTACTTACTGTGACCAAGGACCAGGTAGACCTAGGTTCAAATTCCAGCTCTTCCATTTTCTACCTGTGGGGACTGGGGCAAATGGCTTCGCTATTCTGAGTATTCATTCCCTCATCTCTCCATGGGGCCCAAAATTGTTATTTCCCGAGGGTTGTGATGATCACTCATTGTATTTGACTTTAACCTCCACATCTGTCTAACCGGCCTTCTGAGCACACTGTCTTGGTTAGCTTTTGCTTTGTGACAAACCACTTTATAACTCAGTGGTTCAGGATAGCAATCACACATCACCTCTGTTCCCAGTTGGCTAGGGATTAGTGTATGTAGGCTGGGCTCAGCTCCGGTGGTTTGGCAGGTATGCCTCTGTCACCCTGTGTCACATGTATCATCCTCCTGGGATTCACCATGATGGCAGAAGTGCAGGAATGCAGTCCCAACTGCACAAGTGCTTTTCAAACCTCTGTTCTTATCATGTGTACTCACATCTCATTGGTCAAGGTGAGTCGAATGGCTGAGCCCCAAGGCAGAGGATGAGGAAGTAAGTGTCCCCTACCATGGAGGCGATGTGTGGGTGGATATCTGAGCAATGGGCTTCCCCTCCCATCCTTCTGGGGCACTCCTGGAACCTTCAGTCCACCAACCAAGCACCTTTTCACTGTTTGTCACCCTCCTTTTGCTCGTCGTCCCTTTTTACTGTCTGTTTAGATTTTATATAGTTTGATGATAACTGCTTTAAAACCCTACCTTGGTAAAAACCCACCGCTCACCTGTTCAGCTCTTGCACTGGAGAAGATGACTGTGGCTAAAACAGCCCCGCTGGCTGGGTGCTCTTGGATCTGACCACAGGCTTCAAGGGGCCCTCAGCACTGCCTGGAAATCTGTCTCTCCCGCCTCTCCAGCCATCCCATCCCTCAGTTCTTCATTAGAATGTGAGATAACTCCATTATCATTTCCTCCAGCCAAAGTCTGTGACTTGCTGGCATTGATGTCTCCGTACTCTTCTTCCTTCACCTTGACAGCCGCAGATGGGCCCCCATGTGAGCACCAATCCCACCCCTCTGCCCTCTCTTCATCATCCCTCCTCGCATACAAACCTGCTGTTAAGATTCTCATCAAACCCTCTCTTGACCTCATAGCCTTCTGTTGTTATTATTATTTTTCTCCCCTCTACTGAGAAATATCTTGAAAGAGTTACCTGTATTTGCCATCCTGCTATCTTCAGCCCTCTCTTGAACCTACTCCATTCATTCAGGCCACTGATGATTCCCTTGCTGCTAAATTCCAGTGATCCAGTGATTCCACTTCTAGATGTATACCCAAAAGAACTGAAAGCAGGGACTCAAACAAGTTCGTAGCAGCATTATGCACAGTAGCTGAACTGTGGAAGCAACCAAGTGCCAAGTACCAGTGGGCTGGTATAATTCATATGCCATAAAATTCACCCATTTCAAATGTATAAATCAAGGTTCTTAATATAGTCACAGAATCCTGTAATCATCACCACAATCAATGTTAAACTTTTCCATGACACCCTGAAGAAACCCTTTACCAATTAGCAGTCATTCCTTATTCACCCTTTGGCCCTAGCACTGGGCCATCTAAATCTAAGCTCTTCTCTACAGATTTGCCTACTCTGCACATTCTGTTTAAACGGGGTCCACATTCTGTTTACATGTGGTCTTGTGTGACTTGCTTCTTTTACTTAGAGTAATGTTTAAAGTGTAGCACTTTTCCCAATCCCTTATATTTCCATTCTGCAATGAATTAAGCTACATGCTTAAGTAGAACTCTTGCTTTAAAGAGTGTGGCAGGTTGAATGATGTTTCTCCCAATGATGTACCCATGTCCTAGCTCCCAGAACCCGTGAATGTGACCATATTGGGGAAAGACCCTTTGCAGATGTCATGAAAGACCTCAAGATGAGGGGATCCTGATTATCCAGGTGGGCCTTAAATCCAGGGATAGGTGTCCTTCTGAGAGACCAAGGGGGAGAAGGAGGAGCAGACCATGTGAAGATGGTGGTGCCTTGGAATTTTGTAGCCACAAAGCCAATAACACCAGGTGCCCCCAGAAGCTGGAAGAGGTGAGGAAGGAGCCCCCCCTAGAGCATATGGAGGGAGCCCAGCTCTGGCAATGCCTCAATCCCAGACTTGCTGCTTTCAGAGCTGTGAAGGATGCACCGCTTTAGTTCTACGCCACCAACTTTGGTAATCTGTCTCGGGCAGCCTTATGGAGCTCATCCAGAGGATGCTGATTTAACAGTTTTGTGAAATACATGCTTGAGTTGCAGAAGGGTCAAGCTTTCTCTGGATCCCTCGATGTGCTGGGGCAGGAGGGAAAGGAGCCACCTCTTACTCCAGGGTCCTGCCCACTTCTGCCTGTTGTGCCCACCTCAGGGTCCGCCCTTCCTGGAGCCTCTTGGTCCTGTTGTGCCTTTGCTGCCCAGCTCTTTGCTTGCAAGCTCCAAGCTAACTTCCAAATTCCTGGACCATCTCTTCTCTCGACCTCACCCTGGGCTTTGCTCCAGTCACATAACAGAGCACTTACCTTGACAGGTGGCTGGGGCGGGGGTCCTGAATTCAAAACATAAAGGCATTCTGAATGTACGCAAAATTAAACCGAGCCCAAAATCAACAGGGCAGAGCAGAGCTGCAAGGTAGCTGACATTATAAACAGAGGGCAGTAGGAAGTGACCAAATGCTGCGCCCGTAGGTGCAGCTTCAGCTTAGCTCCAGAAAATTCAGGCCAAAAATGACTAAGAAACTAGTATTGCCAGATCTGATATCTGAAAAGAATCTAGAAATCTAGATTTTTATGTAAATCTCCTGATTTCTAAAGAAGACAATTACCAATAAGAAATCAAACACAACCTCAGATCATCAACAACTTAACACACACTGGGTATCACAAAAATGCATCCGTTTGCTCTGCTAGTTCATGAGCTCATTTGTGTGGGGGCCTCTCTTATAATATTAAAGGTGGTGGGTAGAATCATTCCATATATTTCTTAAATCTTTTGGGGCTCTTTAAAAATGTCCATTTTGTAGGAAATGGATCACCAGGGTTTTTAACAGGTTGTCAATTCGATGCCTTTTTCTTTTTGGTGATGCTTGGGATTGAACCCAGGGACACTCTACCACTGAAATTTGTCCCCAGACCTTCTTATCTTTTACTTTGAGACAAGGTCATGCTAAGTTGCCTAGACTGGCCTTGAACTTGTGATCCTCTTGCCTCAGTCTCCAGAGCAGCTGTAATGACAGGTGAGGGCACTGTGTCCGGAGGTGTTGACAATACTTCGCTGTATGTACCTCCTCTGCTGAATTGAACAATGCAGACAGTCACATATGTTAAATATTTTATTCACATTGTTTACAAACTATATCCACCTGGAAAACACATGAATCCAAAAATAGATTATCTTACAGTAATTCACATTTTTTAGAACAAGTTACTTTTGAAGTTAAACTGAGCATGGAGGTCTGCAGCCTGGGTCGTGGATCAGTGCCTCATCGCTTGATGATCCCAGTTGTGGTGAAGTGGAAGTCCTAGGTGCAGTTCACTTAGTTGTAGGTCACGACTGACATACCAGTGAATGATGAGAAACTGTCAGTGCAGATTTTAACCCGTGAACATTTATTGGTGTCAATTCACTGTTGCTATTTTTTTCAAGGAAATATATTTTAGTACTTGAGTACATACCAGGTAAGAAGATGAAACAAAAGAGACCACTTAATTGGCCATTAGAGGTTTTGGGACATATCCAGCTCTATAAAGGTTGAATAATGTCTTGACCACAGACAGAATCAATGAGCTATGATTTTACTGAGTTGACCACTTGAATCAAGAAACAGCAGTGATTTAGAAATTGATGCAAGTGTCTGTCGACTAACTCTTTGCATATCTGATGCCTGCCACTGGTCAGGATGAGAGGGGGGATGATCTCAGTCACAATGAATATTGTGGCTAATTTGAAGTGTTGTCACTTCAGAAGGTGGGCCATGGAGTTTTGCTGAATGGTCAAGAAGATCTCTGGTTAAGAAATTTATGACTAACCTATGCTAAATCCAATTATGTTCCATCTTAATGGGTTAACTCTTTTGTTCAGATACTTTTCTGCAGAATTGGACTTTAATGATTTAAAATCTAAAGTACGTATGTCTTACAGCTCATTCTCTCCTACGATAAGCTACAGAACTAAACATAATTTCATTTTTTTTTTCCTTTGTGAGCTGCTACAGTTAACCACCGGAGACCACGGGAAGCTTTGGAATGAAAGGTGGGTGTGTCTCAAATGGCAGAATTAGATCCTTCTCTCTGAGCAGCACCAATGACATTAGCTATTGTGGTTCTGTGACACTCGATTAGGGAAATAGTTTTGTCTCATGCCCTTTGGCGAAAGGGCATCATCGCCCCTTCCTGCCAACACCCCAAGTGGGTAAGCTGAGGTGTGGAGAAATTTCATCAGCACATTTGCAGGTTAAAAAAGAAAAAAAAAAGACTTTCAAATGTCTATTGCAATCTTGATTGTTTCAAAAGAGAAATCCATCCGATGAGCTTAATGCCCGGAGCAGATCACAGTTTGTCCTCTTGCCATCCGTGTGCATTTTTTCCAAATTTGTACACTAACCTTCGGTCAACCCGCTCCAAAATCCCTGTTTTATAGTAGTATCTGTGAAAGAAAGCACAAGAGAAACCCAGAGAGGGTTTGTACCCCAGGAAAACAACAGGACATCCACTGGCTCTCCTCATTCCTCTCCGGTGACAGGCTGGTCTTCGGTTACTCTGGTATTTTCACACCCTGTGATCAGCTTACACTTAAACCTTTCCCAGACATCGTTTACCATACTTGGTTCAAAACAGTGTGTGTGTGTGTGTGTGTGTGTGTGTGTGTGTGTGTGTGTGTGATGGCCTGGATTCAGAGTGATCCACGGGGAACTCTGCCAAGAACGAGGAGGACAGCGGGTCAATTTACAAACCACAATCCCACCTGCAACTAAGAACCTGAGTTTTGTCTCATGACCTTTCCATTGTCAAATAAAAGCTGCAAAAACACAGGGCAATTTTCTATGGCCGGCCATTTTATATAACTGGTCTTTGAAGGCTCAGTGGCATTTGATGCTATTAACTTACCTTAGAGCTCTGCTCAACTTTTCGTATGTCATTCTGTCGTTTTTCTTCCTTTGTCCCCACATCTTTGCCAGGGCTTCTGATTTAACAACCCGAAAAATACCTTGTTCCCTGTCTTCCCATTCCAGAATGCCACAGTTTTCTTCAGGAGATAGCAGCAAGTCTCGCACAAATTCCCAGAGATGAGAACTTTGGAGGCCTTTTGGGAAGGAGAAGAAAGTTAGTTACTTAAAAAAGTTGGCTTTTTTTTTTTTTTTTAACCACACAGGGATGTTTTACCACTGAGCTGCATCCCCAGCCCTTTTTATTTTTCATTTTGAGGTAGGGTCTTGATAAGTTGCTTAGGGCCTTGCTAAGTTGCTGAGGCTGGTCTCCAACTTCCCAACCTCCAGCCTCAGCCTCCTGAGTTGCTAGGATTACAGCTATGAGCCATTGTGCCCAATTAAGGATGATTAAAAAAAAAATTAAAGGAAGAATTGTACAACTTCAAATCAATAACCCCTGAGAGTTGCTGCTTTCTGGGGAAATTTCTCATGGAATGAATGAATGCTGTATTTGAAAACTTCCTGAACTCTGAAACATCTGTCTTCCAATTAAGCAGAAGCAAAACACAGAGAGACATCAAATTTACATTGACCGGCAGCGCTGTGGCTCACAGATGTTCTACTCTCATGGAATGAAACCACCGGTCTCCTTTCTGGCAGACGGTGTGGTTGTGCTATGATTCTGTCGCCTGCAGAAACCTGCAATTTTGTTGTTCACAAAAAGTTGGCACTTCTCTTGTCCCATGGTAGTGCAGACTGGGCACTTGGGTTTGGGTCCTGAAGCTGCCCCCTTCCAAGCTCTGTAACTGCCATCTGTCTACTCACCTTATCTGTAAAGTGGAATGAGAGCATCCATGTCTCATCCATAGGTGAGACGATGTCATGACTCAATTCACGGTAAGTGGTTGGGACCACCCCTCCCACGGAATGACTGCCTGACTCTGCATGGGTGGCAATCTCCCTCTCACCCTCCCCCTTTTTTTTTCGTACCAGGGATTGAACCCAGGGGCGCTTCACCGCTGAGTCACATCCCCAGCACTTGTTATATTTTATTTAGAGACAGGGTCTCACTAAGTTGCTCAGGGCCTTCCTTGCTGAGTTGCTGAGGTTGGCTCTGAAGTTGCAATTTCTGCCTCAGCCTCCCGGGCCACTGGGTGGCTCTCTTACGCTGGGAGTACTTCCCCTGAGTACTTCCAAGAGAAGCCCGAGGGTGGACCCGGAAAACAAAATCCTCATTCAGAAATACGAACTGGTTAGAAACCGTCCTTGCTTCCTCCCTTCAATCGCTTTTCCAAGGGAGAAGAGACAGCCCTGATTCTGACATGATCGAAAGCCCTCAGCCATGGCTCTGCCTTCCTTGGGGGAGTGACTGGTCCCACTGAGCAGTTCAGTTTCAGAGCTCATTCAGGCAGACCCCGTGGCCTCGGGGATGGTCTGAGGACGTTAGAAACGGAAACCCGGGTCTTTGTACTTACTTGTTCGACTGTGACTGTGACACTCTTGGCTTTTGATGCCACTTGTTTTCAAGCAGTTGGAATCAGCATCTGAAAGAGAAGGACAGAGGCAGCGCTGAGCCCTTGGATCACACCCAGGAGCAGATGCTCAGTGACCGACCCTCTGAGAGCACTCAGCCCAGGTAAGGGACAAAGAGGCCAAATGCAAAGCAGATGCCTTTGAACAGTGTTGTCGCTGGATCCCGGGGACCTGCCACACTGGGGGTTCTGGGCTCAGTGCTGGAATACAAGAGTGAACAGAGCAGGCAAGGTCCCCACTCGTGTGGACGGAAGAACTCCTTGGCCAGGCAAAGCAGACAGATTGCCTGATGCTTTAAATGTAGTGAGAGGCGAGGACGGGGTGCACCCACGTCATGAGAAGGAGACTAAATGTATGCTAATGAGCAGGAGCAGCAGGAGCAGGTGGAGGAGGCCCGGTGGAGGGAGCAGTGGGTGCAGAGCCAGTGTGCCCTGTGCCGGGGAGGGTGGGAGTGACGGTGCCGGGGTAGCCGGTGGCCAGCAGGCCATGCGGGGACTTGCTTGGAGGCCACAGGGAGGTTTGGGATTTGATACCAAAGTGGAAAGCGGAGGTCCACATTTTAAGAAGATCCCTCTGGCTCTCTGTGGAGGACACATTGGAAGGGCACATTGAAGCAAAGAGACGGGCGCTTATGAAGGGAGGAAGCCAAGTGTCGATATTGGGTTACATCATGTCTAATCTATGCTGTGAGTGACAGTCGGAGACACCTGGACACACACCGTCCCACCCTAGTGAATGGCAGCACCAGGTCTGGTCTCTCCTGTCCCGTATCCTCTCCTGCTTCTCCAGCTCTCTTTGCTCTACTCACTCTCACCTCTGACTCCTTCTCAAACCTGCAGACACATTCCACCCGAGGGCCTGCTCTTCCCCATGCCTGGAGCGCTCTTTCCTTGGATATCTGTAGGTTCACACAATCTTGGCTCAAAATCACCTTCCCAGGGGCCCTTCTCTGACTCCCCATGTTGCAGCCACATGCAGGTACCCCATGCAGCGTTCCAGAACTGCTTCCCTTTATTAACCACCTGAGTATATTATTTGATGCATTTATTCATGGAGGTCACTGTCTGTCTGTGCCCACTGGGGGGCAGAGATTCGTCTTTCCAGATGTACCCCATCAGCACCTGGCACACTGCTGGGTATATATAGTCATGCTCTGTGTCACTGAGCAGCCTCTGTGCTCCACCCTCCTAACTGTACCTATTGTGTGGTCCAGTAATATGCTGCACTGGAGGAGGAGAAGGGAAGCGTGGTGTCTGTGCACACACTGTTGCCCAGGGTGACTTGTTTCAGGGACATTGAGTCATGTCACTCACTAATGCAATGTCCTGCAGGGGTTCCCTGTTGTCCCCAGGATGAGGGCTGTCACCAAGGCCTTTCACAAGCTGGTACCACTCAGGTCTTCAACGTTATCTCTTTCTTCTCCCCCAATTTTTCCCTTCTCTTGGGACAGATGGTCCCAACGGGGTGTGGCTTTCTTCTACCTCAGGGCCTTTGCATGGGCTCCCTACTCTGCACTTTTACCCGGCTGGATTAAGTTCCCAGCTCTTCAGGAAGCCTTCCCTGAACTTACCCTCAGGGTTAGATCCTGCCTGAGTCCTCAGCACCTGTGAGTCCCCTGGCATTCCGCAATGGTTCCACGCCACTATAAAAACCCATCTCCTCCCGTCTCCTCTAACAGCTGATACGTAGGGATCATGTACTCAATGCTAAGTCCAGTTAAGTACTTCCCAAATGGCATCTCACTGGGTCCGGCAACCACCCTGTGCGATATTATTGTGATTTTCACTTTACTGAGAAGGCATTAGAAACCCAGAGTCTTAGGAATTTTCTCCAGATGGTGAAGCCCAGATGCAAACCCAGAGGATTCCAGAGCTGGTGCTCACGACTCCTCCTTTATCACAGCTTTCACGGTAGGGGTTCAGTAGATCGGATGACAAACTACCCGCTAGGATTTGTTGAGCGTGGGCGATTGCCTGACTCTCACTCCATCTCAGGGACCCTTGCGATGTCTGTCTGTTCCTATCCCCAGACCTATCTTTTGTTTTGACTTCAACTTTTAGAGAGAAAGAAAACGAATGGAGCCGTAAAGATAGGCAAAGGTGAATCACTAATCATGAATAGAAAATAGGCTTTCATTGAGATCCAGAATGGCAAGAAGAGAAGGAAAAGGTCACCCTTCTAACTTGAATGATTTTGCCTGGTGTTTTGGAAGAAGGGCATGAAGACAATGCAGGTCTTGGTGAAGTGGGATGGTACCGGTGGTGGGGGTCATGGGATGGTTGGACTGGCCAGAGGTCATCCTGTTCTGTCTGATTTGGTGGTGGCTCTGAAGTTACTCATGAGTTGACTAGATTCAGGCCTCATTTGGCTGATGGTGACAGTGGTGGTGGTGGCAGGAGCAGAGGGGCTGACGTCATTACTGTGGTGTCCACATTGAGGTAGGTTCTCACATCAAGCCCTGCTGGTGCGTCTTCAGTGACACCCGAACCCTCTAGATTTCTCTGCAAATGCCAGTGGTGTTTGGGGGTGCAGGTCTCTCTGCCTCGCAGCTGGTTAATCTCAGCTGTGTCCCTGGTGTGGGGTGAGTGGAGGCATGGCCCGGGGTTCTCAGCTGACTGTGAGTTGGAGAGACTTGGGGACCTTGAGACTGGAAACCTAAAATGTGACTATAGGGTTTACTCTCATTTGTTGACTGAAATCATAGTCAAGTGTTCTCCAGGAGCTGGGCTGGGGTGGGTTTCCAGATCGAGCCCATCCCATGCTATGGTACTAACAGTCCAGCCATGAGGTCTGAACTGCATGCTGGGATGATGTGGGGACGCTCTGAGGATCAGAGCAAGGAGGTACCAGCAGGGGACCTGGGGCTGCAGGACTTGCTCCTGGGTGCATGGAGCCCCCAGGGGTGTTTAGGCAGCATGAGTGGGTGGGGTCAGGTGGACAGAAAAGACAAAGCCAAGAGGGGCTGGGGGCTTCGCTTTGGCCAGTCCTGATGGTTTCATAGCTTGCTGGGCCGTTGCACCTTTGGTGGGTACTGAGTTGGTCTCTGGTTGGCACATCAACATTGAAAGGCAGCCTCTCATTTCTGGGGTGTGAGAGACCATGAAATGCCACCTGGGCTCTAGGTTTTGTGGCCGTATGTCCTGGATTTCTGGAATGGGCTCACTGTATAAGCTACCAGAGTGTTGCCTTTATACTTATCTTGTACTCTTCAAACTATACCTTAGGGCTTCTGTTTTGTGGGTCATCAGGGCTGCGGAAGTGCAGACCTAGGCCTCAGAGGTCCCTGGGAAGGCTTTGGTGTCTGGGCCATGGCGAGACTGTGAAGCTGGTGTTCAGGTGGGCTCATCCGATGCCTGAACCCTGAGTCAGTCTAGAAATCATGTCTACTGACGGGAGCAGACTAGGCAGAGCTGAAGGCAGCTTCCAGGAGAGGAGGACTTGTCTCCATGAGGGTGTGCTCCAGAGATGCTAACCACTTCTACCTTCAGAAACCTTTCTCCATCTCTTCCCCATCACTGGTCTGGGCCATCACCATTTATGTCCTGGACTGAGGCCTCCTGGCCATACGCTTTTCTGCCCCAGACACAGTAGCTGAGGGATCTTAAAATGCAGGTGGGACCTTACCATTTCCATGCTTATAACCCTTTAGCAGCTTGCCCACCTGCTCAGATTGAACCAAATTCTGCTTCCCATAAATGTGCCCTGTCCTACTCTCCGCCTCAGGTCTTTTCCTTCCTGTGGCTGGTGCTAGTAAGGCTCAATGCTTTACCGACACTGTCTGAGAGAACCCCGTGATGGTAAAATCTGAGCCATCCAATATGGCGGCCACCTGTGGCTACTGAGCACTTAAAATATGGCTAGTGCTACTAAGGAGCTGGATTTTAATATTATTTAGTTTTAATTAATTTAAATAGCCACAGGTGGTGAGTGACTACCAGACTGGACAAGTTAATGTGAGACCCCTGGTCTTCTTGGGTTGTTTCTCAGGGATCAGGATTCTTCCTACCTCGGGGCCTCTGCACTTGCCATTTATTCCCGGTAAACTTTTCTTTCCTCTCTCCTGGGAGGGGAGCAGGTTCTGTGGAGCAGAGTGAGGAGGGGGAGGGCTGCTGAAGCCACAGCATGGCTCCTGGATTTGGCTATTCTTGCACTAAAGCTCCAAGAGCCAACCAACAAAATCACCCTAAATTTTTGTTAACCAGGAGTTAAACAAACTGATAGGGACCTTAGAGAAAGAAGAAATAAATCATAAGAAATGGTCCCTGTGTGTTGCCCCCCTGGCTCACACCTCTCAGGGGCCTTGGAAGTCACAGGTGTTTGGCCCTCTTTGCAGGTGACTGAGCTGGAGTCCACCCGGAGAAGGAGTTTCCCCAGAACCACCTCTCCTCCAGGTCCCTGGGCCAGAGCCTTTGTGTGTGAGACTTAATAACTCCTAGCAATGATCGTCATCATCTTTACAATATGGAAGCTCCAAAAGTGACCTTTCCAGAACCTTCTCCGTCTGAAAAAGTGAAACGGGGAGGGCTAATCTTCAGGATGAGTGAGCCCATCTGAGATCCTTCATTATCTCCTAATCAGGAATTCAACCTACTTGGTGAGCTCAGGTTGTTTTGAAATGGTGTTGACACGAGGCCTCTAATGACAGCTAATGGAGACCAGTTTTTGGAGCATCCACACTGCTGGCACATACCAGCCACTTTTGTGGAACTCACCACAACCCCACAGGGTCCCGACATTCTTAGACAAGGAGACAAGACTCAGGGAAGATGGATACGCCACAGACCTGAGCCGAGGCCCCAAGAGCCACATCCTCGCTCTCCCTGCCACGCCCCTTCCCACTCTCTTCTCCAGGTCTTGGCTTGTTTCAGTCACCAACCTTCTAGCCCCATCAAGCCCACGTGCCCCCCAACCAGCCATGGCATAGCCCTGGGCAGCTTGAGCTTGATTACTTACAGTCTTTGATGGTGGCCTTGGTCTCTTCAGTGTCGTTGAAAAAGGAGTAACCTGGGAAAGAAACAGAAACACAGAAACCATACCGTTCGGTCCGGGGTTGCAGGAGAGGAAGTGTTGGGGGAGGGGAGCAACAGCTCTATCGGAGGATGATGTATTTCAGAAGGAAGCTCCGGGACCATCTGGTCTTTATAGAACACCCTGAAGCCACCTCTCAGAGGTCACAATCTCCTTTCTCAAGGGTCACTTGGAAGAAGCAACTAGAGCCAGGCGTCCCAGCAGGCTCTGTGGATCTTCTGAATGGGCACTGGGAGGGAGCCGGGCTGGGGACTCAGAGGGCTGGGCTCTGAGCGGTCTGGACCACTGAACCCCGTGTGGCTTTGCCAGTCAGGTGCTGTCTGGGGTCACTGGTTGTTGTCAATGGTGACCTGAAACAAAGCACCCACTCAGCTCCCCTTGGGTTCTGTGTCTATGATCTCTGATGCGGTATGATAATCCCCTGAGATTAAAATGTGCGTTAAGTGGTGATCAAAGGGGAGCATGGGCAAAAGAGGCCCAAAGAGGCATAAACCCCTACCTGAGTGCCAAGTTTACCCAGGATTTGGAAGACCAGGGCCTTGCTTCCCTACTCTGCAGCCTGGGGTGGGCTGGGCTTGAGTTGGGAGTTTCAGATCACGTTTTCAAGTTGGTGCCCAACACGAGGACTGATGTTTCCTGACTCTGTTTTCTATTCATGGAGGAGATGGGAACAGGGCACATGTGTGTGGTTGTTCTTTCCTGGTGTCGTGTCCTCATTTGTTTTGGTTAGCCATGGTCCCTCAGATGACTCCACCCAAAGCACAGACCAGAATAGCGTGGGGGATGGACAGGACTCATTCTCTCCCACACATCTTCATGAACATCCTGCATTATGTGGTTGTTATTGGTCTGGTTCCTGGGCAGTCCTTGCAATGTGTTTTTAAGCTTTTCTTTTCTTTCTGAAAATATGCTCAACTTGCTTTCTTGCCTTCCATCTTTTCCACTGACCTCTCCTTCCAGTGACCACACCCTCATGGTTCTGGGTCCTTAAATCCTACTGTGGTTCTCTGGGCCCTAGACCCCCTTCTAGCTCCTCTCCTGTCCCAAACTCCCTCATCTGTCCCATTCCCTAATTTATGCTGGTAACACAAAGCATAAACTAAATAATGACCTCAAATTTATTGTCCAAATGGAAATGCTTTTGAGAATGAAAGGCATCACTAATAATAATTATTTCAGGGCAGCAGATGAGAACAATGTCCTGGGCAAATTGGGACTGTGTAAACTTTGGTCACAGTACACATGTACACAGACCTTCTGGAGAAACACTGGAGGAGGGACTTCAGAAAGGAGCAGGTTGGTGGAATCGACTTCTACTACTACATGAGAAGCCCTCCTGGCCTGGAGAATGCCTTACATGTCACCATGGGTCCCTTAGAAAAAAAATAAGCCACCCATGATTTATTAAAAAGCAATCAGCTTTTAGTTCATCCATCTCGCCCAGATCCCTGAGCTAATGGGACCAGGCAATAGGTATTTTTGGATATAACAATTGCCAGAGATAGGAGGTGTTAATGATAGGTGGCCCCAGCCCAGGGACTGTTTGGTGCCTGGACACACTTGGCATTTGGCCAAACTGGCAGTGCCAGGCTGCTGCTTCTCCCAGGATGAAGTATGCTCCTCTCCATGGTCCTGGGATGCTCATGCAAGGCGGTTCCCTCAGGAGATCCTGAGTGGAGCCCTGAACAACTTCTCCCACAGATGCTTGTCCCCTGTCAGGGAATGCACACTCTAATACAGGCCACTGTCCCGGCTCAGGGCACAGGCTCACAAGGGTCCAGTGTGCCCTCCTTGGCTTTCCTGCCCTCTTGCCCTTGCATCGGAGAGGAGCAAATAAAGATCAAAGAATCCGAGCTGGAAGGTCTGCTGTGGTCTTTCTGTGCAAATAGGAATCCTTGACAAAGCACCTCCTTCAAATAGGGGCTTGACGGTTTAATTATCTCCAGAGACGGCACCTTCCTTCCTCCTGTGCCTCCTGATGTAGCCTTTCCAAGAGAAGGTGCCAACTCATAGAAGGAGCTTTGTTAAAATTGAGCTAAGGTGGTTTTCCTTTGCTGTTAAAATGTCTGCCTCTTGGTGATATGAGAGATGGTGAAGATAGCTCCATCTCCTGCATCGGCTTCCTCGTATGCTGTGGCAGGTGGTATTTCACTAAACCCTCTCAGGAAGCCCGGGGAGGTGTGTATCATCCTCCCAGTAAAGAGACTGGAGATCAAGGCTGTGCAGTGAATCAGCCATGTTTGCTGTGCGACTTTGGGGAGGTCACTTAACTACTCAGGGCAACAGTTCCATTATCTATGACATTGCTACACAGAATTAGATGTTTTCAAAAAACCTTTCACGTTTGAAAAAAAAAAAAAGTTCTCAGCAACATCCTGCTCTCAAAGGGTGTTCAAGGCAAATAGTGTTAATGGCGCCACCTTCTGGCCATTCAGTGCATGACCACTAGAAAGGTGATAGAAATGAAATGCCAAATATTTGGATTCCTCTTCAAACAGAAAAGGGTCTATTTGATTATTTTCCCCTTATGACTAATGTGAGATAAAGCAGGAATATCTTTTTGTCTACCCCAAGTAGTTTTCCATCTTCATGAACATTTGGTCTGATTCCTGGGCAATCCTGCAATGGGTTTTTAGCTTTTCTTTCTAAAAATATGCTCGACTTGCTTTCTTCTAACTTACTCCCTTTTACTTAAAATTTCCAAATGGAGCTTCTAGTTATTGAGAGGTTTTCTGTGAGAGTTCCAGCTAACTTTTGCATTGCGAGGCCCATGGCAGGGAAGGACCCTAGAGGGCATCTGGTCCCACCCCAAGCACTTTGACCCTGACCTGACCTTGTGTGCGGATGTTCTGGAGGATGAAGTACAGGTACTCCCCACAGATGCCAGCGGCCTCCACAAACTCCTCCTGTGTCATGCTGCACAGCTGCAGGCCACTGATGTTGAAGTGGCAGAAGGAGATGCAGTTGGCGTCCAACTTGTACTGGTCACAGCAGAACTGGAGCCATTCCCAGACGTGGCGCTTAGTCCAGTATTCAGGGGGGACTGATGTCCAGTAGGAGTCACAGGCTGCACCAGAGGAGAGAGAAGTGAGGGACAAGGATCTCCAAGGCCCCCAGTTGTAACATCCCCATCCCTCACTCAGTGGGGTGAAAGGTCTTCCAGCCTTGTGGTGTCCTGCAGGGTCCCAGGCCACCTCCTACTTTGCAGAGAGAACCAGAGGGACTGAGTCCTGCAGATGGACTTTAGGGCCAGAGAAGGAAGATAACCAGACCTCATTCTGGTATTTAGAAAGAGGGATCCAATGAAGGAGGAAAACCAAAATGCTCCTCAGCTATTTGGTTTCACACAACATGGTATCAAGAGGGCAAGCTCAGGAGCCCAAGAGGCCTGGGTTCAGATCCTGATTCGGCTGCTTTTCACTTGGGCAAAGTCTGGAGCCATTTAAGTGTCTGTCTCCTTCTCTGTAAAATGAGGACAATATGATTGACTCACAGGACAGTAATGGTGTTTGAGATGAATGTATGTAGACTGGTGAAGAGACCATGAGCAATCAATTCAACAGTTGTTAAACACCTACTGTGTGCCAGACACATTTGAACCATTTGAACACATCAATCCATTGAAGTTGGATTGATTCTTTCAGTTCTCATGGACGGGCAGTCCATGTCGGCTACCTGCTGGTGCAGTCTCTGGCCATCTTCTGCTAAGGGCTTGGGATGTTTAGACATTGCCTAGAGTCTAACAGAGCTTGGACCATGATAGCTAGTGTCACTAGAGGAAGCAGGACATGGGAGAATTTGTTGTTGATGTTCTTGTGTTTTTTGGTGGTGTTTTGAGAATTTTCTCTTCTGAGATCAGAGCCCCTCACTCCTCTAAATAAGCTGCATACACATCCAGGCAATTGTGGGTGCCATCTTGTCTGGGAGGCTGGGAAATGGCAGTACCTGGCACAAAGGCAGAAACTAGAAATTCAGCATCCCTGACCTAGTGTCCCAAGGAAAAATGGAGAGTAGCAGACAGGGGTAAGAGGTGAGGTATCAGATATTAGGTCTAACTTTGATGTAAATAATTCCTGTAATCTTATGGTATTATCCATCCATCCATCCATCCATCCATCCATCCATCCATCCATCCATCCATCCATCCATCTACCCATCCATCCATTCAATAAATGACAGCTTCAGTTTCTTCATTGGTGAAATGGAATAATTATAGCACCTATATTATAGGATTGCTTTGCAGATTGGATTGGTTAATATATTTAAAAGTACTTAGGACAGAGCCTGGATGATTTCGATACTATTCTTAACTTTATCATTGTGCCCCTACTTTATGTGATGCAACAAAATCTGTGTTAGGAAAAGTGGTAGCTAAGGCAGGTTTAGTCCCTGTCTCCTAGGAGGCCACAGATGAGGAACTTCAGGGCCAATGAGAAATGTCCTAAGATGCCCTGGCCAGTGTGTGGCAAAGCTGGGATCTGAATCCCAGTCTGAACTTGGAAGTCACTCCCTGCCCTTCCCATCCAATCATACTGGTCCTCAGAGGGTTGGCCCAGAGAAGAGACAGAAAATGGACAGAGAGGCAGACAGAGCTAGAGAGCAGGAGATGGCTAAGGGGGAAGGCAGAGAGCAGAGGACAGCGGAGGTGGCTGGTTCAGGCTGTGTGGATGACAGGAAAGGTCCCTTGAGTTAGACTCCACAGCAAATTAGTGCTACTGCTATTTCCACTTTCAATCCCACATTCACTGCCACTGTCCCCAACACAGCTGTGGCACTTCTGAACCAGTGAGGGAATGGTCTCCCTGACCTTCCAGGGGCTACTGCTCACCAAGCACCCACTGCACGTCACAAAGGTGCCACATTATCCTTGGTGACATCATCTCAAGTCTCTCAAATTCTCCCAATAACCCTACCAAGTAGGTGAGATGGGGCTGTTTCACAGAGGTGGAAACTGAGGCTCTCCCTAAAATTCAAAGTCCTTCCAGAAACTTCTTTTCTCATCATGAAGTAGTTTGAGGGGCAGTAGATTCCTTTTGATTTATTTAAAAATTTTAACCAGAATTTCACACTCGTGTCAGTCAATGAAGGAGTCAATAATCCTCCAGGCTGGTGAAGGCTGATGTCATTGCTTCTACCTGGTGGCTGAGAAGCGTGAGGAGGCCAGCAGGGCTGAGAGTCCCCCCTCCCCTGCTCTTGCTCCCTGGCTGCTGGCCGGGGCCGGCCTGTCAGGCACATGGCGGTCACCACACCCATGCAGGTGCTCCTGGGCTAACAGGGGCCAAGCCCAAGTCAGTTCTGTGCTTTCATCTACTGATTTCTGGCTTGAGTAAATCTGAGGGGCCTTTGGACGTTCCTGGTTTCCTGATGAGAGACGTTTATGAGCCTTGACATTCTTCAGACGCTGGTCCCGCTGGGGCCCTGCTGGCTGAGATGGCTATCGGTGTGTGACCGTGGGAGGCCACAGCCTGCTTTTCTGCTCCTGGGAAGGTTCCACCGAATCGCTCTTCTCTTCCCTTCTCCACTTCTACCACCTGGCTATTTTCTTTGGCACTCAAAGGGGACCATATTGTTTCTGGAAGCCAAGAGGGCCTCAAGGATTCGGAGAAGTGCCCGGGTGGGGGTGGACGCTGACACCAGGCAGGTGTTGCTGGCCTGGCTCCCTGTTCTCGGCTGCTCTGGGAGGCAGGCTCAGCCACAGAGCAGGCTTTGTGTGCAGCTTGGGCCCTGGCGGGCAGCAGGGAGCCAGAGCCAAGAGTGGCTGCCTCCTTCTCAGCACAGCCTCCCACAGCCCTGAGCTGAGAGGAAGGCCGTTGTCCTCGGGGACATGAAGGAGGGCCACAGGGCCAATACCCAGGGGTGGTTTGGGTGGTGGTGTGAGGGAGGTGAGAAGGCCCGCCCTAACCACTCCTGCCACCCTGCGTTCCCGGTCACAGCCCGTCCCCTCCTTCAGGTTGCTCCATGGCTCAGCCTTTCCACAGGTGCTTCTCGTCCCCTTCTGCCACCTCTAGCCCCTTCTGCCATCCCCGCTCTTCCCCTCCCCTACAGCACCCTTCTCAGAAGTGCTCAGAGGACTCACAGCACCTCCCTCCCTAGACCCGGGACTCTGCCCACCCTGAATTGGGGGTGCAGGGAGCCCGACCCAGACCTCAGCTGGTGTCACAGGGTGACCAGTGATGATCACCTCCTGTTCCAGATGAGGAGACTGAGATTCTGTATCCCCCTAAGGTCATGGTGGGGTCAGTAAGGGACCCTGGGCCCACGCCAACCAAGGGCAGTGCCTACCTCAAAGACTGACTAAAATAAGATTTGGGTCAAGAAGGAGAAATATCTGTCTGTCTGTCTGTCTATTCTAGATTTGAAAAATCAGAAAGCGGATGGAGAGATGGTGATGCCAGTATTTCCAACCCCAGCCAATGACATAAAGAAGACCCTTCTGCTTCTTGGAAGAAAAGAATTCAGGGAAGATAAAGGATGAATTTGTACATCCGCACGTCTATCACCTTTAAGCAAATGTATTTTAAAATGCCTAGAGTTTTCCTTAATGAAACTATCCTCCTAAAACATCAGCTGAACTTGGTGGGTAACAGCTCTGTGGTCCTCCTGCTGTGTCTCTCCGGTTGAGGCTGGCCAGCATCCTGTGTCCAAAGGCCACTATTAAGTAGCAGGCTGTGCCAGCTCCTTTGAAGTCAGAAGTGGGTCAGGACACCTTGAGGGCCAGGTGCAAAGGGAGGGACAGTTGGGGAGCTAGAGAGAGTTTTGGCAATCGTGGGGGAACTCTCAGGGTGGTAACATATCCTGGGAGGTGTTTAAATTCTGAAGGACTTGAGCTCTTAGGGCTGGGCTGGTGTTCTCCAGGGCTCACAGCATCGGTAGGTGACATCCATGCCTGAAGTGGCCCCCGTGGGGACACTGGGAACTGGAAAGGGGACCGTTGCTATTCAGCTCCCCTTGCAGGGTGACTTTGTTCTCAGGGAAGGGGGGTTTTCCTCGGCTAGCTGAGGGACACCAGAACAAAGCCAGCCGAGGGCTTGGTGAGAGGGAGGCAGACAGTCTGCCTCAGAGGAGGCCTGAGCCAGGCAACTCCAGCCCATAATTAGCATGATTTATTAGCATAGGGAGTTGGGAAAGTGTTTTGCCCCAGGCGGCCCTGAAGAGCCGGTGGTGGGTGAACTGGGCAGCGAGGAGGGGCACCATCAATTGTAGCTTTGTCACTGAAAGAAGGACTTTACAAGGTAAAACTCGCCCTGATAAACTGCTTCCAGATTTCCTTATGATGCCAGGCTAGACCACTCCCAGAGCCCAGGCTAGCCCCATCCAATGGGCTGTCTTGGCTTCCCCATCCCAACCTCTGGAATGATTCAGACCATGAGATGGGAAAAAGAAAGCCCAGGAGCAGTGTAGGAAACGGGTTGCAGGAAAGAGGAGGAGAGCCAGCTGGGATCTGCCGAGGGCAATGGGCTTGTCAGGGTGAATTAGGGAGGTGCAGAGAGGGCCAAGCCTGGGGGGGTGTTGGGGCCACGCTACCCAGAGGTTCAGGTGTGTAGAGGAGGAAGCAGAGGCAAGGTCCCCCAGGATATGACTGCTGCCATAGGGCGCCCCAGACTTCCAGATGATTTTGTGTTTGATTATATGATTTTGATGTAGAAGTTTTGAGACTCTTAACCTTTGTATCTGCTCTCAAACATCTCTACCCAAGCACATGAATCTTGGTAAGAAAAGCCCATGTGGGATCCAAATGCTTCTCTCCCTGATTTTCTAGCTCAGTGACTTTACATTTTTTTTAAAGTTCTTTCTTAAAATAAAATCTCACATTTGATTATGATAGCTAACATATTTATTGTGTGCTTCTCCTGTGCCCGTCATGCTAAGCCCCGTGTTTTCTCATGTTATGCTCAGCACATGCTATGAAGTCTTCTATGGTTACATGTCACAAATGAAGGAAGGAAGTCTTCAGGTGACCTTCAGGGTAGAGCTAGGAGTGGGTCCTACAGGTGTATTCTAACTCCTGCAGCCAAGCCTTGATACCCACTGTACTGTACTGTCTTTAGAAGTCAAGTAGAGGAAACTGCTGGGGGATGGGGGTGGAGAGGGTGGAGCATGAGTCCAGTTGTCATGGTCACCCAGCTCTCTTCTAGGATGTGCCCCGAGGTACTGAGAACCCCTAGAAATGCCCCAGCCTGGAAACCTCTGCTACAGACAAAGTGAGATTCCAAAGCCCAGGAGGTCCCTGGTGTAGGCACGCCACCTTGGCAGTCAGGGGACAGGTATGTGGGATGTGGAGGTCTAGGTTAGAGCTCCAGGAAGTCAGGACTAGGCTAGAATACTCAATGACTCATCACAGGATTGACTCCTGGAACTTGGAGAAAAAAAATCTTTTAAAAATAGTGTATGTTGGGGCTGGGATTATGGCTCAGTGATAGAGCACTCGCCTAGCATGCGTGAGACACTGGGTTCGATCCTCAGCACTATATATATATATATAAAATATATATATATATATAAAATAAAGATATTGTGTCCACCTAAAACTAAAAAAAAATAATTTAAAAAATAGTGTATGCATGTGAAATGCACGTGTCCCTTCAACTTGAATACATTTTCACTATTGATAATTCTTTATTTTGAAAAAGCCAAATTCAAGGTCAGGGTGAGTTATGCAATTCTAAGGAATTTTGCAATTTTGATTGTCCCCCTTTCAGCCTGTGATGCAGTTGCATGAAAGTCCCCTTCAAAGAGCAGGTTGGAATCCTTTGTGGGCAGCACATAGGGGCACAGTTTCAGCTGTATCTGCGGAAGCCATTTGGGGTGTTTTCCTCCCTGTCGTCTCCTAGACATCATTGATCTAGGGGAACATCATTTCTCTGTGGCTTTCCCTCCCTTTGGTTGCAATGTACCTACTCTGTCAAAAATTCCAAATTGGGAAGGTTGTGATGGAGACCGGTGTGGCTTTTGTCCAATGTGAAGAGTGAGAAGAGGTGAGAGACGGCTGGCTGTCCCTGCACCTACCTGGGGGCTAAGAAATGTTCCTCCTATGGCAAGCGCTCACCAAGCGCTGTCACCTTGCTAAACATAGGAAATCTCATTCCCTCCTCCCAAGGCTAGGAGGCAATTATTCTTTCAGTGAAGGAAAATATATCTCAGAAAACTTGTTGCAAGACACGGGGCTGGTGAACAGCAGTGCCAGGACTTGAAGCCAGACTTGCACAGGAAGCTGCCATTAGGACCACACCAACGCAAGCTCTGATTCAAGACAGAGGTCCCTGTGAGGCGGGTGAGGACCTCGGAGAGATGCCTCAGAGCAAGACAGCACTGAAAGTTTGCAGAGGTGCCCAGGGGCAAATGTGCTGTCTCTGATGCTTCCCTGGTAGAAAGAGCTTTTGTGGAAACTTGGACCAGTGTATCACCTCTCTGGGTGGCAATGTCCTTGTCAGAAGAGGACAAGAATGTACCTTCCGGTATTCTTCCCACCACGGGGATCCTGAGGAGAGCCAGAGACCGTGAGGCTCACCTGGCGCTGTTCACTCAGACGGAGCTGTCATGCCCAGCTTTGACCTTTAGGAGGTCACCTTCTGAAATACAGAGGGCCAGGTGACTTGTCAAAAGCCATGTGTGTCGGCAGGGAATGTTAGAACCCAGGCCACTCCTGAAGGATATTTTGTTGACTGTGGCCTCGCACCTTTGTGGAAATTTCTATTCTCTTAAGAGTGGGGGGAAGAGAAGGCTATGGTTGTGATATTGCCAGATGTAGGATTCAGAGAAGCTTCTGGAAGGGATCCTAGCCATGACCTGGCCGTACCTTCTATTACACTCATGGAAATGCAAAGGCCGCCATGGGGAAGGCCATGTCTGAGAATCCAAGACTCGGACAGATTTAAGCCACGCTGGCAATTTCTTGGGTGACTTACTCCTTTTTGATTCTTCATATAAAAAAAATTGGGGCCAAATATACATAACAGGAATCTTACCATTTTAACCCTTTTTAAGTGTACAGGTTGGTGACATCAAATAAGTTCACATTGTTGCACAACCATTAGCACCATCCTGCTCTAGAACTTTCTCATCATCCCAAACTGGAACGAATGCCCCGTTTTGTAAAAACACTATGTGTGCTGGCCACATGCCAGACCACGGCCCAAATGCTCCACAAATATTAACTCATTTCAGGCTCATCACCACCCTACCAGGCAGGCGCTTGTGATCCCCATGGTGCCGGTAGGAGGTCTGGGGCATGAGAAGGTGAGAGAGTAAGTGTCAAAGCCAGACCTCACATTGAGAGCACCGGCTCTCGATGACCACAGAACGTGAAGCCCAGAGCCTGGGCATGGTGCCTGCAGGTCATTGAGGCTGTTCCCCCGGCTGCCACCCCAGCTGCCACCCAGGAGAACAGGCAGGGAGGGAGGTCCTGCAATGGCAGGTCTGGGTAACATGAGGGCTGGCCTTATGCCTAGGTGGGACACGTGGGGGGAATGGGGACCTGACAGCTGTCACTTTCCCCTTTAGCTTTAACCTCTTAGCCCAATTTCAGGGGAAGGAGGTGGAGTACATTTCTCACTGTGTTTCTGGGAAACCATGTGCTTCTTAGGCTTGAGGAAGAACTGTGTTATGTGTCTGAATGATTCAAGTCCAAATGCAACCATCTAGACCTTTCTGAAGATGGCGAGAGATTTTGTGTGTGTGAGTGTGTGCACGGGGTGGGTGTGGGTATAGGACTGCGTGGTGTGGGTGAGTTCCTAATTGTGTGTGTGCAGCCCTGGCCTGTGGTCCCAGAGGTGGGGACTTCCCTGTGGTGGTGGACACTGTGTTGCAGACTTGGAGGCTTGGCCCCTTCTGGGCACTGCCTCTGGACACCAGGTTGGACTCCACCAGGCCGGCGTTTGCAGGGTTAAGCCTCACTGAGGACTGACACTTGGTGAGGGCTTGCATCACTGCCTGGGGTGTGCACCTGCCGGGCCAGCATTCGGCCAGGGTTGCTGTGATGTGCAGTCACCCAAGCACTCAGGGACAGAGGCCCTCAGAGAGTTTCTGGGGCAAAGCTCAGTTGGCCTCCCTCTGGCATGAGATTTGCGCAAGTTCTCATGCTTTCTTCTCAGGTGGAGAAAAATGGGCTGAGAGAGAGAGGAGGAAGGGTGAGGAGGAAGGGAACAGCAGAGGGACGCAAGTGTACTGAGCACCTGATATCCACACAGGACTTGGGAGAGTTTCGGGTGAGGATTCTAGTGCTTCCTTTCTGCAAGAGGCTGCCTGTCCTTCCACTTGGGCCTCCCCACCCCAGCCTCCATCCCAAACACTGGCATTTCGAGGCCCTGACACAGCATTGTCATCTGCCCAAGGCCGGCACCCCCTTCTGGAGCCCCCCCCCAGCTGCCTCAAACGGTCCCATCCAGGTGTGCGTACCTGTTTGATGCTCAAAGGCAGGATAATACTCTTCATTGCTGAACAGATCAGTCCACGACATCAGGGGGTCGCAGAAGGACGTGTTGGGCAGGAAGGTGCTGTGTGTCACCGAGTCCAACATCACCCTGCAATGGCAGAGAGGCTGTGAGGAGGTGCGGGGGTGGGCTCTGGAAGCCACACCAGGTGGGAGCTCCCAGCAGGGCAACCTTTGGTTTTTGAAAATGACATTGGCCAGGCACCCCTCTAACTGCTGGTCACAGTGGTGCTGTTTAATCCTCTCCACATCCTGTTTATCCCCATTTTGTAGATGAGAAAACTGAGGGAGAGGGGTGGAGACAATCGCCCAAGAAACAGAACTAGAAAGTGGCAAAGCTGGGACTTGGGGATGGAGGCTCTCCCTGTGCCATCCTGCCTCTTAGTGACCTTGGCTGACACTCTGGACTCTGACATATGCTGCCTAACACTATGCTTCTGAGTATAGTGCAAGAATTGCTATGTAGGATTATATCCAAAATTCTGAAATCCTTAAGCTTGACAACTGAAAGTGTGTGTGAGTGTGTGAGTGTGTGTGAGTGTGTGTATGTGTGTGTGTGTGTGTGTGTCACAAGCACATGTGTATTTGGTACACTTATTCTCCAGCAAAACGCCACTGAACTGGTGATACATATTTTTATGTGTGTTTGTATAAACACACATGTGCATATATATAACAGCGTATAACACTATTTGTCATATGATCCTAGAACTGTAACAGTTTTATTTATTCCACATAGTGACTGGGATTCACTGCAGAGTTATGAATGTGTTGGAGGCCTCTGAGTCCCTGAAGGGTAATCTGTATTCTGGGGTGTGTGCACTGCATTACCTAAGACCTGAAGGCTTCCGAATTCTGCAGCACATCTGACCCCCAGGTCTTGGAGAAGAGCATGTGTCACTGTCACAAACACCGCACTTTGGGCTCCATGCACTTTGGGCACATCAGCGTTTTAGCTTCATGACTCCTGGCCTCCTCAGAATAACCACTCTGAGCTAGGTCCTGGAAGTGGGGTGTGCGAGCTGAGGGGTGGAAGCGCTGAGATTCCGGGCAGCAAGGGCAGAATCAGCCAACTGGCAGGCAATGGAGTCTGTGGGGGCAGCTCAGGCTTGAGTCTTTAAAAGCTCGTGATCCTTATGGCTGAGTTGTCCCTATGCACAGATGATGGGGGAAGCTCCAAGGAAAGGCGTTCTGTGGAGGCTGGGGAGAGGGTGGAGGAGAACGGGCCTGCGGCTCCATTTATAAACGCTCTTGCTCAGGCCAACCCCAACTTTACTGCTTCCCATATTCCCATTACCACCTCTGTGTTGCATCCCAGAGTCCCTCAGTTTGGGGAAAAAATGCATGCTTGGCAGATTTAAAAAACAAATGTGTTGGGCTGGGGATGTGGCTCAAGCGGTAATGCACTCGCCTGGCATGCATGGGGCGTTAGGTTCGATCCTCAGCACCACATAAAAATAAAATAAAGATGTTGTGTCCACCAAAAAACTGAAAATTAAATATTAAAATCTCTCTCTCTAAAAAAAAAATGTGTTCACTCAACTTCTCTGATTCTTGAAATAATGCTAATGCGACAGTCCCTTTCCACGTTTACAGAAGGCATAGCAGCTCGAGATCACTGCACTGGTCAACATCAGGGAAAAGACTAGATTCCAAGTCCTTGGATACGGAAAGATGGAATTCTAAGACAGTTAGGTTTTATCCATCATCTAATCCAATGTCTTCAGTCCACACTGTAGGCATTTGCTACCATGATAATTTCACTCCATCTATATACTTCTAAGCACCATTATTTACTTAAAATATTTTTAAAAATCCACTCCCTTTTTGTGTTAACATAAATGTTTACTTACTATAAATGGAAAGTTAGTGTTCTTTCAAAGTACATAAAATAATACCCAAGCATTTAAATAGGAATTGCTCATTCACGCACCTCCTAGGTCAGAGGTTAGCAAACTATAGCCGGCAGGACAAATCCAACCTCCCACTTACTTTTGTGTGTCCTGCAGCCAAAAATGATTTTGTATTTTAAAATATGTACCCATATTATCATAATATCATTAATTTTGTTGATTGGCCCGCAAATCCTAAAACCTTTGCTATTTGGATCTTTGAGAATGAGTCTGCCAACCTCTGGCCAGAATCATCTTGTCAGTGGTATGAGTACCAACACTGGAAAATAGTTCATTTGTCTAATCTCTCCTCTCACCTGCCACTTTTCAGGGAAGGAGGTTGAAGCCCCACGGAATGTGTATAACTTTCTCAAGGTCACACAGCAAGAGATGGGGAGAGTTAAGAAGGTGGGAGGCCCTGTGTTTTCGGACTCTTGACGTATCTGCCTCCTTGCTAAAAACAGTTTCATAGCAATACGAAGAAGGGCTGGGATTGTGTGACTCTGGCACCAAATCCTTGGGGATGTTCACAAATCTACCACCATCATCACCATCGTCGCCACCTGCATCATATAAAGACCTGCACTCTGCACATAAACGAAGAACCGAGCTTGGATACCCTTTCTGGGCCAGTACCCACGAGTGCCCAGACCCCAGTAGGAAGACTTCTCTTCTACGCCTTCTTCTGCAGGGTCATGGAAGGTTACCATGACCACGGATCTCCCCGGGGAGCCTATCAAACACAAGTCAAGGCTGCCAGGGTTTTGAACTTGGATGTTCCCACGGATTGGCCCATTTTATATCCTAAGTGAAGGTGGAGTGTGAGTGGGTGTTGGAGGGCAGGGTGAAGAAGGATGAGAGGGAAGGGACCCTGGAACCCAAAGTCATTTCTGCTTTCTGGACTAGACTTCAGAAAAGTTCTTCTAAGTGAAGGTTAAGGATGAAAACATGCCCCTTCACTCTTGGGCCCGAAGGCTCAGAAAACTGCAGAGAAAGATGGCAGCCCTCTGGCATGATCTTCATTGAATTTGGAGCAAGGAGAGGAGGATCCCAAAGGCAAGAGAACAGAACACAGTCCCCAGGCCCTCAATGTCCACAGGGTGTCCTCCAAATATAGAATTTGACCACAACTTCAAGTGAGATCTTTCCAGTCAATGCCTGACAAGTAGCTTTCAAATGTTATTTGGTATTTTCTTTCTTTCTTTTTAAAAAAAGTCATTAGGTAAGTTGAATTTAATCATAGAAAAATTAGGGAATTTTTGGATCAATAGAGTATTTACCTCCTTTAAGGATTTTCCCCTTTCTAGTCCAGCCCACTGGACTTGATATGTAATCTCTCCAGGGCTGTGCACATGCCATATCTGATTCCCTAGGGTAATTCCTTCTATGGCAAATTATACCCATTAAGTTTTCTTAAAGGGCTCTCTCTCAAGTGCACAACATGCTATTTTCCTTCCATAATTATTTCTTGCATTTCGGAAGAAAATGTCTTTTATGACTGCAGCTAAGTACCCCCCACCCCTCTCTTCTTTCTTTTTTGCTGTTGCAGTAGAAGGAGGTGCTATTGAGTCTCAGTTCAGCACAAAAGACCTCGGCTTCTTAACCAGCATGTACCAGGTGGGCAAGCTCAGCGATAATGCCTGCTTTGTTCAGCACCTCCTCTCTGTAGGCCCTCTAAGGTCCTTGCAGTAATTGGACATTTTGGCTCTTATAGACTTTCTAATGGCAGTGGAGTGGGTTGAGTGAGAAGGAGCAGGTGTGGGGCCCCCTTTCTCAGCGAGGACATCTGAGGCCCAGTGATATGCAAGCCCAGGCCTGAGGTTAGACTAGCCATTCTCCAGGAGGGATGGTGAGAAAGGGCTAGTGGATGGAGTGAAAAGAAGGTCAAGAAACACTAGGTTATGTAGACCTCATGACCCCATGGAACAAGAAGGGAAGGTCTAGAAAATTCTTTGCTTTCTGAGGCTGCTTATCATCCTGGACTGAGCCTTGAACTTGGACTCATGATTCTGCCCTTTGCACTTTTCCAAACCTTAGTCCTTCACTTAGTAGTGAAGGGGGACACGGATGGGTGGACTTCCAGTTGACCCCATGTTTGTGAGAGTCTGCAGCCGCCACCTGACTGAGCTAACACATCCAAACTCGGGGTGTGTACACACCCTCCCACCTGCATCTGGATGTGGATTGATTATATTTGGATACTGTGGTTGGACTTTACTCACCAAATGGGGGTAAAGTCTGACTAGTACAACCACAGATTAGATTCATAGCTCTGAAAAAGCCCTCTGATGACTTCTTCCCCCTTCTCTCTATTTTCTTCTGAAATGCAAGAAATAATTAGGGAAGGAAAAGAGAAGCCCTTTACCTTCTGCCCCAGTCTGGGAATCTCAGGACCGTTGGAGTCTTTCTCCGGGGTAGCAGGGTGCTCCGCCTGCTCTGGACCCTCACGTACTGCCCACAAACAGACACACTGTGGTGGGAATCCGTTTCCCCCAGTATTAGTTACTGTTCTAGCTGCCGGGTCAGTAGGAAAAGGATTAAACACGATTAACACAAGGTGGAAGAATCAGGCATGAGAAAGACTGGCTTCAGGTACCTTTGGGAGTGAGACAGCGATGGTATGCAAGCTGAGGTCCCCTGATGCCTCTGGTGGCTTCCTACGCCCGTCTCGGAGCCAGCTTACACACCGACGCCCGCACAGAGGGTCCACCCAGTCAGGACAGGCCTGTGTGCTTCTCACCCCCTCGTGGACCAGAGGCAGCAATAACAGGTGCAGGGCCCATGGCCTGAGCACCCAGGCACCTCTGCTCAGCCTTCCAGAGAGAGGCGAAGGAGAAAACCACCCAGCCTTGGCCAGTTTACCAGAGGAGGAAAATTCCTTCCTGACCCTGGCGGGGATCATCAACTTTGCTCCGGGCATGTGACCAAAAATCTACCCAATTAAGCACCTCCACACTGGCTGTTTATGTATCAAAACATCGCCGGATAGAACAAGGCCACGCAGGTGCAAACCGCGGACCAAAGGGGACTGACAGGTCCTTCCCCAATCCGACCATCTGGGCAGTGTGGCTGGGAAGAAAAATGTTTTCTTCCTCCCAAGCCCCCGGGACACTTGAGTGTCCACTGGGTCCTGAGCCTTGTGGGGGAGGCGGAGTCAACTTCCCACTCTTCAGACCTCCTTCAGAAGGGGGCACATTGAGTGGGATATTTCAACAGTTGCTGTGAAAGGATTGTGGGTTGGGCACATGAGTGTTTGCTCTGGGAGAAACCACAGCCACCCTGAGAGCCGAGCTGGCGGCTTATCAAGTGATTCCTCATTTTTCTTCAACTTGCTTAGGGAGTTTGGTTGTTTGTTTTTAGCTGTTTTTTGGAAGGTGCAGCGTAGACCCATAGAGGGTACGCCATATCGTTTGCTGTGGGGCTTCAGCGCAAAGTCCACCTGTTTTGCATTGGGGGGGGGGATTTAATTCTACCTCGGCCACTCCCAAGGCAGGAGACACAGATCCCGTTTCCTACTACTCCCTCTGCTCAAATTCTTAATTTGTTTTTTCATACCGCTGTGCTATATCAACATTCAGGACCATCCCTGAGCTTAAAATGTTCCCTCACCCTTAAAATGGGAATTTTCACATGAAATCCTCAGAATGTCCTAAGGATTTAATAAAATGAGTTAATATATTATGCTCACTCGAAGACTGGCATAATATCTACACCCATTCCTGTCCCCGCGGGAAAAATCGACCACCGTCAACATACCGAAAAATTGCTACTCTAGCCATGTCAGAGAGAAGAAGACAACGGCACAGGAAACTCCTGTCAAATACACCTTGACTCATGAAGAAAGACTCACAGAGGACACGGAGACCACAAAACCCAGCTTTCACTCGGGTGAGCAAATAACCCATTTTCCTGGATCTTTAGACCAAACCACAAAAAGCTGTCTTCCTAAATCACGGAGCCTTTGGGGACTTCAGTTCTCTCCACGGTGAAATGAAGAAGTCCTACCTAATGATCTGCGACACCCTTCCTTTCCAGTTCATGAAATTCTCAGCCCGTTCATGCAGATGGATGCGGGTCCCCAGCTTGGGTCAGGAGGGAGCCTGCGCTACCAGTTGCTGCCAGCAGGGGGAGAAACACAGGAAACCCACATACCCCAGGGAAGACAGTGGAAAAAAACCCTTCACCATTGCCTTTCTGGAAATATACGACTCTAAGCGGGTGTGTGAGAGGGTGAAGTGGGATTCCTTTAAACCCTTTTTGTACAGAAAAAATTCCTGAAAAATGCCCCAGACTGTAACAAGGCAGTCCTCTGTGTCTGAGCGGGGGTGGGGGGTGGGGAGTGGGGGACAGGCCAATGGGGATCTGAGGAGCCCAGTGCAGGTATGGGGTGGGGGGGCTCAGCCTGAAGCTGAGATTTTGTCTGTGTACAGACAGCTTTAGGGAGGGTGGAGGGTGGAGCCCCTGTCAGCATTCACTCCCAGTTCCCCTTATTTCTATCAAGTGATCCAGGGGAGCAGGGGCTGGAGAGAGGGGGTGGGTGGCCCCATAGCCTGGGGAGGGAAAAATGTCCCTCTTGGGCAGGCAGTGGCCTCTGAGTCAAACAGCTCCCGGGAGGCACTGGGACCGCCTAGTCACAGTGGGCTGGCGCTGGAACTGGAGACTGAGAAACAGACCCGGGTCCTGGGTATAGCCTCTGAGCCCTGATGTCCCTTAAGGTTCATCCAAGAGAGTAAAGAAAAGTGCTTACGTGAGGACAGCGGTTGTAGGTCCAGAGACAAGCGAAGGCAGGCGCTCCCGGCACCAGCAGACGGCGGAAAAAAGGCACCTGTAGCCTTGTGATATAAGTGACACCTACAGACAGGTTCGTTTGGTTTTTCAGGTTTATGCACAGCCCCTTTGATGACGGTGACATACAGTGTGACATGCTCCTTGGAGGGGGGGGGATGGTGCTCACATGCAGAAAGTTTACCTTTATCCTGCTTTGTACCCAGCTCACTCACCCCCTGGTCCAGGGGATTCAGTAAACAAGCAGAGCATTCTTGCCTCTGGGAGAATGATTCGTAAGATCCAGCGTGTGCTGGGGAATTCTTGGGGCAAAGCTGGAGGGGGAAACTCAGAAATCCAGCCCTAGTCCTGTCTGTGTCACCTCTCCCCTGGGGCTGGCCGAATCCTATGCCTTAATATGTCGTATCATTTGCCCTTTTTCCTGTGTGGTAGGAAGGAAGGGTGGGGCAGTGTGGGGTAGTGGTAAAGGATGCCGGTTCTGCAGTGGGAGATGCTTTGGAGGGACCCAGAATCTGAATCCATTTTCTAGCTGTGTCACTCAGAATAAGTTAATGAGCCTGTCTGAGTGACATCAGCCAATGCAAGGAATGACCTCTGTTCTTGGGCTGCTGGGAGGGCCATCTAAGGTAACGTCCTTAGCTGCTATGCTCCCAACACTTCCTTCACCCGGCACATTGATCTGAGTCCCTTCTTCTCCACCATTTCTTCCAACCTGCCCCTTTCGGCCAGGTGACGGGCACAGGTGGCTTGAGAGACCTTCGCTGGGCTTTTCTACTGTGAGCACCAGTGCGATTATCAACCACATGAATTTATTCAACGTGTCCACATCTGGACACACGGAGCCACCACGTGGCTCCTCGCCCCTGCCCTGTTCCCCAAGAGGACAGTCATGTGTCCTCAGCGGGAGGGCCCAGGGCCCTGACCTGGCTGCTGGCTTTCTTGGGTGTCTCTCTGAAAACTCACGGCATTTTCAGCCTTCCCTGGGGAGCAGAAACTCAACCTAATTTAGATGGTGAAACAGCCCCAGGTCAGCTGCGGGGCGAGGTTTACAACCTCTGCCTTCCATGCGGGCTCCTGGGGATCTGAGCGGGCCAAGACATGGTGTCCAAACTGCAGGCTCCAAGCTTTAAAGGGAAAGCGAGGGACTGGTTTGTTAGGTTTTCTTGGGAACACTGGGCATGGGCACAAACATGCAAACTCACACCCGGAGCTGGAGCAAACAAAAGGCAGTTCATTCAAGGATTTAGGTGTCATCATGGAAAAGTTGTTAAAGAAAGATAAGGGGACAACCTGGGCTGCTGCTTGGCTCTGTGACCTCGGGCAAGTCAGGCAGCTACTCTGGGCTTCATTCTCTCCGGTGCTAAAGGGAGGAAGGGGAATTAGGATAGTGATTTTCAAACTGAGTCCTGAGGAACCCTAGGGGTTCCCCAGAGCCCTCATAAGGGGTAAGAGAAAGGGTATGGAGTGGCGTTGGATTCTGAATGCCACCCCCCCCCCACCATCCTTGTGACTCAGTAAGAGCATCTCAGCTTTTCTATAAATCTTCTGGGTAAGATTTCACTTGAACAAAAGAATCTGCACTTAAAAGGACTTTGCAAAAAATAACTGGATTAGATGGTCTTGGGATTCCTGTAAGCTCTAAAGCCCTGAGACTTCTCTTCCTGCTTGGTCTCCAGGGCCCTCTCTCAGTCCTACCTGCTGAGCACTGTCCCATCTTCTCCATGTGGCTATGTGTTCATTTTTCACAGTGGAGGTGTTATCGGGGAAAACATATTAGTGTGATAGTATTTTTAGAAAAGAGCCTTTTGGAGAAATTACATTTTTACTACACTCTCCGGGCTCGATTATTCGCCAGGAAGCAGTTCTCTGGCAGAGGACGTGTCTGATGGTGACTGACCATATCAAGAGTCCTGAATGCACAACGCAGCATCTCTGGGTGACTGTGTGAAATTACAGGCTTCTGACCAGTGGATAAAAGGGGTGATTAAGATAAAACTAAAATAAAAGAGGAATTGAACTCTAATTAAGTTTAAGCATCACACGTAATCTAAATTTGATTGGAATGGAGATCTTGGGTGATCTCAAATACCACGCTTCTAACAACTGTGTGACGAATGTTGGATACAGAAAAGAGATGGGGCTTGGGGGGAGGAGGAGGAGGAGGAGGGCGAAGGCCTGCAGAGGCCGGAATGGGGCATTCAGATTCCCCAGCCTGTTCTGGTGTCACCATGTAGCAATAACAGGGAACATTCCTGGGGCTTAATCTCATAACAGAGTAATTAAACAAGCTGACTCTGGAGGGACACTCCCCAGGTTTGAATCCCTGCTCAGCCATTGCTGGCCGGGTACACCTGGGAAGCAGATGGAGCATTTCAGAATTCCAGTTGCCTCTTCTGCAAAGTGGGGAACCCATCAGCTGTCGGCTGGTTGTGTAACTTAACGATTTAAAACACGGGGAGTTTTTAAATGTGGCTTATCTATGTTTTGTCTTGTGACATTCCTAACATTAAATTTTCACGGATCTTCAACAAGGTCGGAACACTTCCATTTTACAGATGAGGAAACTGAGGCACAGAGAGGTTAATGTAACTTGTTCGTGGTCACATTGTGAACAAGTGGTAGAGCAAGTATTTTATTCTAGACTGCCTGCTTCCAGAGCCCATCCTCTTCACTGCAGGGCCTACCAGTTTCTGGGTGCTCCTGGGCTAGTTCTTTGGTGGTGGGGAGGGATCACGTAGGTATGGAGTGTCTACCAAGCCCAATATTGTGCTGGCTGGCTCATCTGTCTTATCTTGCTCATTTTTACCGAAATGCTGGAGAATAGCTATCATTTCCTTTTTAAGAGGAGGAAACAGAAGTAACGTGCTTGTTGAGGGCCACCCAGCTGGTTGGTGACCAGCCCTAGGTCGACCTCAAGCCTGCCCAAGTGTTAAAACCAGACTGTGGAAACTGGAGCTCGAGTTGGCTTCTCTGCTTCTGCACTGGCCTTGGCACTTGCCTCTCTGTTCCCCTCCCTCTCCATTGGCCTGAGGTCCCGTGTCTCACGGTCATTGCCAGCACAGTCTGTCTCTTACTTGGGGTGGAAATCCTGGGACCTCATGGGATCTTGTGCCTGCATGGTTCTTGGAACAAAGAAGACACTGGGTACAGACTCACATCAAGGAATCCTGTGTTCAAGGGACGCGTGGCTGTGGGACAGGGTGGGGTCCTATCGAGTGTCCCACCCACTTCTCTGCTGGATGCAAGGGGCTCCATGCCTCTGCCACATCTAGAACCTTCCCTCCACGCCAGTGTTTCCTCTTCCCACAAATCTGCCACATTGACCTCCCCTGCAAGAGGCGGCCCAAAACCAAAGTGAAGCAAAAGAAAGGTTTAAGTAAACTGTGGCAGATGCTGTTTGGTTCCATCTCCTGATGTCGTTTTAGAAAGGAACCTACTGGAACAGTTGTATATTTTCTATGCTCTGTTGGCTCAAATACTTAAGAACAAAGTTTTCTGTCCCTGGATGTGTGGTCAGCAAACTCCTGGCACCTGCTGCCTGCAAAACATTAGCTGAGCCCCCCACCCCCATGTCTTGGGTCTCAGTTTCCTTATCAGGACCTGGTCTGTGATCATTCCTGGTGCACAGTGGACTTTAGTAATGGCAGCAGTGATAACGGGCCATGGAGAGAGATGCCGAAGTTGATTGAGATCCCGACCTTTGAGATTACCGTACCAAAGAGGATGACGTTGCTTTGCCACAGGGAAGAATCCTACCAGCTGCCGTTTGCTAGCCTTTCCTGGGTGCCAGGAACTGTCCCGGCAGGCTGTGTGTATTCAGTCATTGAATTCTTACAGCCTTCCTACGAGGTAAGTATCATTGTCACCACCTGAAATTTGTTGATGAGGAGACGGGTACCGAGAGTTCAAGGAACTCGCCCAATGTCACACATCTGGGGCTGGATTTGAGCTGAGGTAGGCCACTGTGCTATCATTTGGTACCTCTGGGGGAGGCAGAATGTAGGCTGAAGACCTACCAATGTTTTGGGGTACCCCAGATGGCTGGCAGGGCCCTTGAGAGCAAGGACAAGAGTTGTAGACCTTTTGTGCCCTTAAATACAAGGCATGGACCTGAGGACAAATAGATGCTTCAGGAATTCTGGATTGTGCACGCTCAGATCTTTCTTTCTTTTTTTTCTTTTGGGGTATCCTCCTGTGTCTAACTCACTCTTTACTTCTCCACCTTGTCCATCCTCCTGACCAGGAGCCCCAATTCAGTTGAGAGCAACAGTGAGGTGGCTCCCTAATTAGGAGCCCTTCCTTGGGTATGAACCTCCGGAAGCAAAGAAGGCATCTGTATGGATCTCCAGCAGAGGAGGCAAACTCTGGCCAAGACAATGGTTGGCAGAAACTTAAGGACAATGAGAACTACTAATGAAAACTAGCAGAAGCTGATTTTGTTAAGATCCATCATGGAAAAAGAGTGAATTCCTAAAGTTTAATTCTGATGTTTGGGAAAGAGTTGGCACAGCTGCCTGGCTCCATTTCCTCTCCCGCTTTCTTTCAGTAGGGGAAGTCAACCTGTTGAGGATTTCCAGGGTTTGGATCAGAAATACAAATCTGGCTCCGAGAGAGCATGGATCCGAGAGGGTGGGGGAGGTGACCCTTCTCAGGGGAGGGCTGTTGACGCAGCCTTTTCCTTTGTCTGTCTTCCTGTTGAACCCCAGTGCCTCAGCAGGCACGAGCTTGCATTCTGAGATTTTTGGGGGCGACCATTTGAGAAACGGTGGCCCTGACTTCTAGAGCCACTCCATGCTCTAGAGGGTGAGTTGGGACCAGTGGCGCCACCATTGAAATCCCTACAGCAAGTGAGCCTGTGCCTGCAGACATGACTAAGGAGCTCAGTTCATCTGGAGCCTCACTAATGAAGGTTAACAACGGATATTCCGACATTCATTTTTTTGCCAGGGGGTGGGTACCAGGCACTAGGCCCCTGAGCCACCTCCCCAGCCCTATTTTGTATTTTATTTAGAGACAAGAGTCTCACTGAGTTGCTTAGTGCCTCGCCATTGCTGAGGCTGG